TTATAATCTGATGGCCCAGAAGAAAGACGAGATATCATCGTTGATATTGAATGCTGAACAAATGCAACAAAAAAAAAACCTCTCTAGTAGAGCCTAAAAAATGCACTTTATTGACAACTAGTCCCCATTTCAGTTACAACAGCAGAAGAACAAAAAGAGCTTGAATTTGTTTCTAATCACCAATTAATATGCATTGCTTGAAATGCGAGAACCAAATGACATTTGTACAAAAACGGTCTATCAGGACAAATTCTTTTGGCTTCAACAACAGGTCAAGTGCTGAAACCTCGTAGAAAATTGACGAATTTGAAGAAAATGACAATGACGACCGGTCAGAGGCATTTTTCGACTAACCCCAACAACAACGATGACAGTATCTACAGCAGCGACAGCAACAGCAGCGTCATCTAATGATCGTTTATAGATGTCGAGTTAACGGAACCCAGTTATTGGCACTCACAAACAGGTAAACACACATAGGCTGATAACCTTCTTTAGTAAGCCTGTTTTTGAAAAAAAAACTACTTTTTCTTCCTTAGATCAGTAACAATCAGAATATTCAGTCACAAAAATTACCTAATACGAAAGATTGTGAAACATTTTTGCTTCCACTATTGAACAGTTCTCACCTATTATAGAGGTTATAGTATTGATGGTTTTCTTTCTTCGTAGAAATAAAACCGTATCTTTTTCTTTAGCAACTAAAGTATTTTTTCTTTCCCAGTAAATTCTTTGCAATGTTCTTCTTCGTTACCAAAGCATAGAAATTTTCTAGATAAAATGTGAATTGTAAAACTATTTTAGTTTTTCCTGAGTTAGATAGTCAGAAAAAAAAATATTTTTATTACTATACCCAGAAGCAGCATAGCACACTCTTTTAAGAGACTATGATAATGTTTATAAAAAAAAGCAGCATTTTTTTTTAATCGCAGATCAATATCAAAGCTAGAAAAAAAAAAGGACTAAAATGTTTAGTTTTTCTGATGGTAAAAAATGCAAGGGAAAAAAAGGATTTCGTTACCAAAAAAAAAAAGCTATCTGATGCCGTTGTTATTACAAATGTTTGCAGATTCGGTTCGCACAGACACTGTTAGACAAATACGGCAAACAAAGGGCAAATCAGGCGATCAGTGGTCGGCTGGGTGGACACATGACGATGGCGATGAAGATGACGACAACAACAACGACGACGGCGATAACGATGAAACCGACGATGACAAGAACAGTGTTGATGCTGTGGCCTGCTAGAGATGATAATAATGATGAGGTGACAAAGGTGACGACTTTGCTGTTCATGTTGATACAGCGATATTTGGCGCCGTAGTGGCTTGGCATATTGAGAAGTCTTTATTTTCCCCTGCTTTTTTTTTTCATCAACAAAGCAAGACGGCATCAGCAGCAGCAGCAACTGCAACCAGCAACCAGCCAACCAACCTATTTGGCCTTCAGTTTGTATCCGTCCTCCTCATTTTTTTTTTTGTCGTCATCATTTCAGTTTAGTTTTCATCGTTTTCAGTAATTTTTTCCTCTCTTTTTTTTCTTCTCTCTTGAAATTATCCGCAACACTGACATTGCATCGCCAAAAAATGACAAAAAGAAAATTTTTTTTGATGAAGTTGTTTGTTGTTCTTCTTTTTTATTTCTTATTGAGGTAACAGCTGATACGGCATCTTTTTTATCTCCACCCCATATTCGTACTAACATTTTTCGTATTATTATTATCATTATTTTTTCTTTTGGAGTGTATTATCGTTCATTAATCAAGTGAAATTTTAATTATGGTGTCAAATATTTGGCATTTATAGTCGATATTTTTTATTAGCATCGTTATCGTTGTTCCTTTTGAATAAAAATTCATATTTGCTTCTCACTCTTCCTCTCTTCTCTTGATAACTTCTTTATCTCTTTGAGGAAAAGAGGAAATCTGCTTAAAAATTTATGGTATAAATGGCAGTTTTAAGCAGTTCAAAAACGTCATCTAGTTGTTTTCAAAACTCATCTTATTTCAAAAAAACATTAAAGGTGCCTTGACCTCAGACAGATAATGCGTTACTCGGCTAATCTTATTGACCACCCTTTGAAGAAGAGCATTTTTTAAATTAAAACTTAACCGCTAATCGATTAGTAGTTGTACCTTTTGGTTTATCATTGGTCTGGGTAACCGTATAAACATATGCAGTAGTAGTGTATAAGAGGACAAAGCAATTTCAAGTAGAAGGATAACTGGAGGAAATCCTGCAGAAGGAAAAAAAAAATAAAAAATTCTATATAAGGTAAACAAAAAAATATATAGAGTAACCTTGTAAGGGGCAGTCTGAGGGACTGCGCATTCTATTGTTGCTGCATGACTGATATGATATAGGGGAACCAACGTTAGCCTCTTTGTTTGTACTGTATTGGATGAAACTTTTTTTGGAATAGCTTTACGCTTCAACTTCCCTTCTCAGGTCCACTTTAATCATAGCTGAAACCGTAAAAATTAAATTTTTTACTGGCTTGTCGAGACCGAACTTTGCTTAGACGATACTGAAAATAGCACGATGTTTTTGCGTTCTTTTCTTCAGTAGCTACCCTCCTAATTAACTATTTACTGCAACCGCTTTTCCTCAATAGTCCTACACTTTGTTGTGTATATAACTATTCGTTATGAGAGTGTCGTCTTTACTACAAGAATTCGCATGATAAGGGCCAATAAAATACTATACAACTGCAGGAAATTTAACTTTTACTCTGCCTTTGCAAAACTACACTTTCAGATTACTCTCTGTTTCCTCTCTTTGAACCTTATCTTTTCGTTTTGTTCACGTACTTCTTCCTTTTATTAAAATCGTGCCCAAAACCTTATTTTCACCATTAGGTACAACGACTGAACATCTCACGTTAAAAAACTTGGTAAGCCATGTTGGAGAAAAAATGATATATTATTACAACAAACACATTTCAAATTCAATTTACCAATGATTGCCTTTTTGATCGATTTTTGAGAAACCCTGCGCTACTAATCGAAATAAGCTATATAATGCTTGCAAGTTGTGGAAGGTCACTGGTTGACAGTAGTCCAAATGTTCGTCTTCCTTCTTTTCGCTCTTCACAAATATAGCTGCTGAACAGTGTCGTAGCCAGTTTCTTGAACTCAAAAACTAGGTGGGCTCTGCTTGTAGCTTAGGCAGTAAAACAGAATATTTTTGAAAAGAATTATTGTTACTTTTAGGAGATATCAAGCTCATGTTGAAGACAAAGGTAATGTCATTTTAAACTTTGTATAGTCTATTGAGAACTTAACAGATTTTACACAACTTTCATGCCAATGCTGATTTGCTATCGTGCTTTAATGGTCATTAGAAAAATCCACAGTTTAAGCCGAAATACTGGTGCTTTCGATAGGTTAGAGTTTTTCGAAGTACTGTTATAAAAAACTACGTTTGGCTTTTATCGGTTTAATCTATTCATCACCGACTACTGTTTAATGCTGACATAAAGTCGACAGCAAAGGAAAACCCTCACTTTTTAGAGTTGGCCTATGTCATTTCATTTGGCTCATTTTAAAATAATTTTAGAGAAGCGAGCGAGTCATGATAAATATTATACTGTCTGTCAAAAACTGTTTTTTAGAAAGATGCTCGCTTTATATAAAAGCCTCTCTAGCATAAGCTCCTCTTCAGTGCATTTCAAGATTGCTGAAGATAAGCCGTTAAGTCACCAGATTTTCAGTGTAACAAGACTTTAAAACCGGGACATGAAACGGAAGTCAAGATGTTTTGTGCAGAAACTCTGTCGTCGGTCTGATCTCATGACAGCTGTCGTTGATACAGATAACTTGTATTTTCATTTGTTAAAACAAATATTGGTTAAGATCTCTGTCTAGAGGAAGCCAGGGTGTTATCTAAATTATTTATTATACGTTTTTCAATTGTATGCTGCCTGATTTTACACTGTGTATTTGATGTCATTTCTGGAGAAGCCAGTTACATGTTTTAAAACTCATCATTGATTTTATAGGATACGAATTGAAATTTACTGCAGTTTACTAAGGAATGATAAGTCGCTGTCAATCCGGTGTTTGCCTTTACGTAGTATCATGTTTCCCCTTCAAGTCATTCTTCGTTAGTGTCGGTCAAGAGAAATAAGATCAAAAATGGAATTTATTACAACAGGAAAAAATTACATCTATAGTTAGAACTTTTATTGTTATTTGAAACTAGTAATGTCTATATTTAACGACTTTGGCGGCATTTTCTTCAATGATTTCAAATCTTTGCTATCTTTTATATTATGTTTCTTCTGTGGAATAGTAATGTAAATTAATAAATGAATAACAAAATGAATAGATAAGCGTTAAAAGACGTTAGTTTGATGTAGAATGATGCAAAAAAAAATTTTTTTTGACATTGTAAAAGCAACTTTAGTAGCCAATCGAAATTTAAAAATCAATTTTTTTAAAATAAACTGACCGTCGTTAGGGGG